GACAACTCACCTCGCAAGTAGTGCTGAAATGAACTGAAAGTCTCTGATCGCTGTCTCACCAAAAATCCCAAACTTTCCAAATAATACATACTAAGTCAATACATGGATATCAATCTTGACTAAGGGTCCACATAATCCATTTTGTCTTTTATCTTTATAGGGCCAAGGCCCAAATGCCAAATCTGTGATCTTAAAAGTCCATATATCCAAGGCCCATTAATGGATTAACTTTCCCAATTGGGCCTAACTTCCTAATTAGTCCTCAATCTAGGATACATTATCAAAATTGGCCCAAAACTCAATTATTCAGAGAGTCCAGCATGGCCCAAGTCCAATTAGTCTAAAGACAGCCTAAACCTCGAAGCCCAATTCGTTAAAAGTCCAACAGAGGGCGTACGCAGGGCGTACTCCTCTGGTATGCTGATCGTACTTCCGTTTTGCGTTGACCATCATCGGGGTGGTTGACTCAGTATGCTGGGTGTACAGAAACTACGCAGGGAATACACGAATTTTACCAAAACTCTAATAAGTGCTAAATGACTTAAGCACTTAAGCCCAAACTTCAGATCCATCGAGCAAATGTGCCTAAGTCTCATAAAGTCTTGAACTTTAAGGCTTTGGACGTCCAAAAAGTTCTTAATACACGATCTTAATGCATTAAGACCTTGTTACTCCATACATGAGACACCTTTAACTATTAGGACATCATTTTTGTCACTTGGGGACCCCTTCTAGGGTCTAAAATGACAACTTATCTTGTTCAAATCATATCATACACCAACTTGGGACTTTTGGGACAAGAAATGGTTCCATAAAGCTAGCATGGCAAGATCTATATCATACAAGCATAAAGTTTGAAGCTTTTTACCTTCTGGAGCTTCTAGGGCATGGAGAAACTTCAAATCTACAAGCTTGTCCTCCTTCTCCAACTTCTTGATGCAACACCTTCTTCTCCAACTACTCAAAGAACACTCTATTGGCTCACACACTCAAGAAAAAGATTAGGGTTTGGGGAAAACGACTCAAATCTATGGAGGCTAAGGTAAGAGGGGGTTATGAGCTTATAAGGACGTTTATATACCACTCAAACCCTAATTATCAGGGTTTGCATCTGACGTGAGTACGCTTAGCGTACACAATTATACACCCAGCATACTATGTCGTGCCTAGTACGCTTAGCATACCTTATGTACACTTAGAATACTAGCCTTGTTCTAAAAGTTGCAACTTTAGCCCTTAGGCTCCTCATGGGTCGACTCTTCTAACCCCAAGGGACGACAAATGACAAATTAATAATAGAAGAGAGGATTTGGAAATACCTGCAAAATCTCGGGATGTTACATTTATGATATTGTTCTATTTGTATGGTGTTGGTATTTTGGGGGAACTCAGTAAGCTTTGGCTTACAGTTGTGGATTTTGTTTCAGGTACTTCGGATGACCACGAGATAGCGAAGGCTTGATCGTGCACCTCCTCACATTTTATGTCATGATTTCTGGGATTCTCTGTTGATATACTATTTTGAAAACAATTTCTAAGCAATGAATGGTTTTGTGATATTTAAAAAGTTTAAAATTTTCATGAATTTTATGGATGGCAATGCATGTCTTGAAACCGAACTAGGTCAAAAATTGGGGATTTATGATCTAATCTTTATGCATGGCATCAAAACTTGACTATAGCCCAAATCCAAGAATTTATTAGATCATCTTGACTTGGTGATTCATAAAGTTGCAAACTTTATGAGATCTCACCATTCCAATCTTCAAAAGCAAGAAGCTAAAGGGACAAAACTCAAGATCTAGCAACATGGAAGGATAAAAAATCGGATCTTGGACACTTACAAAGGTCTAGAAGAGTGCCAAACTAAAGATGAGGGTTTGCTTGCTGGATCTTTGCTTCCTTCTTCTAACTTCTTCCTTCTTTGGCTTCAAAAACACCACACCAACTTACAAATGAGAGAGAAGAATGATTAGGGTTTTCAAGGATCGATGGAGGCTGATAAAAGGCCAACTCTTAGGACTTAAGGGGACTATATAGGGTACAAACCCCTAAAAATTAGGGTTTTCTCAACGAGCCACCAACACACCGTGTTTTACATACCAACACGTCGTGTTGGTCCATAATATTACGCGAACCAAGAGTTCCTCAACACGTCATGGTGGGGCTTCACCATGCCATGTTCCAAAGGAAAATCATACATAAATGGCAATAAATTTCATACCTATAAATCGGGATGTTACAATCTCATTACTGAACTGCTTCCTTAAACTGATCTCTTTGACCCCCATTTGATCTGCTTTCTTCATAACACTTGACAATAAATGCAACACTGACAATTAGTTCATCAGTGATATTTTCACCTCTCTCATCACCTTGATCTGAGGCATCTGAGTAACTGATGAGCTTCATTGTTTCCTTTCAAGAAACCAAGGTTATAGACTTTTCCTTGCTTGAGTCCTTCATGATGTCTTTACGAAGAGATTTTGTCTCTTCGTAATTTTGCATATTACCAAACAACGAGTTTAGATCCATGACACTGATCTTTTTACTATTCTTAAGGACATCAACGTGATGTTCCTAACTTTTCCCAAGAGAGTCGAGGAACTTTAGAACTAGCTGAGAAGAATGCTTGATAATTCTCAGCCTGCGTATATCATTAACCAAGAAATTAAACCTACTAAAGGTTTGGGTTAGAGACTCACCTTGTTGAGAAAAGAAGTTCCCATATCTCCGATTGAGATTGCTGATAGTTGTGGCATGAACTTCCACGGTGCCTTCATAAGCCAATGTTAGCATATCCATCATCTCTTGAGTTGACTCACAGTTCTGCATAAGATGATATATGTGATAGGGAAGAGAGTTTCCTATGTCGGCTCTAGCTTTCACATCAAGACTAAGCAATTTCTTATCACCATCGTCATAGCTAGTCTCTGGTTTTTGCTTCAAAGGACCAACAGGAGCATTGTTGACCATGGACTGATACATAGGAACGTGAGGACCTTTTTCAACAATATTGCACATCTCATAGTCCATAGTTTGAAGAAAAAGCATGACCTTTATTATCCATAGGGCGAAGTTATGCTCATTGAATGGAGGGATCTTGTTGAGACCAAAGGATTTGAAATTATTGGAAGTCGACATGATCACTTGAGTGTATCAACAAACCCGCTCTGATACCAATTGAAGGTTTGTGTCGATCGGATACACTTCAAGTATAACAAACAAGAACAAAATTACTAAGCAAACAAAGAACAAAAAAGTAAATAACACAAAGATTTCACCAAAATTGTATTTCACTAAGAAAGGAGTTGTTTTCAACAAGAAAACAAGGTTGTCACAAAGACAGTCACCAAGACGATTAACGACACCAAGCCGTTTCACATTTTAGGGTTTAGCCCTAATGTTGAATATATACTAATCTATACAAGTATATCCCTTGATTAAATGTATTGTATCTAATCTATACTAAGAACTGATCTTCATAACAAAGATAACGAATCTGCTATCTATTCTATACTTATCTGTACCATTACCTAATATACAAAAGTTACATAGAATAAACATCTACACGCTGACGCTGATAGACTTGAGATGCTGACGCTGATGCTGAAGTAGATAGTTGCATTGGCAGATAACGTATGACGTGTTTGACTCATCAGTTCATAAGCTATGACCTTACATTACAACACTAATTACAAGAGTTAAGTCAAGTTACATGCCTCATCTTTCAAGTCTTAAAGGTCGATTCTATTCTTTAAAATTCTTAAGCTTCAATCTAATCTTTCAAATAGAAATACCTGCTTAATTATAGTTATTTAATTTATTTTGAAATCTAATTATTTAATGAAATTTATGGATGTTAAAACTAAATTCTTAAAAACCTTTCGGTATGCAATGTACCACACACTGTGATATATGACGTGGCACCGCGGTGTGTGGTAAACACCGCACCAACTGACATATCTTTTGCACGTTATCATTTCACCACAGGGGAAATATAATCCTACCCCTCAAAGATAGTACTTTGTGCATAAAAATGTGTAATGTAGTGAGTGTGGTAAGATGTGATATGACACTCATCAGTTTTATGGAATGGAGATAAAACAACATGACAGACCAAATGTGTAGTAAGGTGAGTGACCACACCCACTGACCTAAAAAATAGTAATTCCAATACATCCTCGTTTTATTACATCATTATTAGTTTTATTTATTTTATTTTTAATTTTTTATGTTTTAATTCTTACATTTCCACACCACCATAACTGTGAATACTATTCAAATTGCACACACATTTACAACATATCTAGTGTATGTTTTTTTTTTTTTTTTGAAACGACAAACTATCTACAATCTACTCCTAAATAACCACCTATATCTCCACAGAAACTTGAACCCTGACCTCTCCTATATGGTCACTCCGTACCGCTAAACCATTAGCGGTATGTTTGTTGACCACTATGTTCGAGTCATAATTTCTTAGATGAGCTATTTGTCGGATATCCTGTGTAATTTTAGGATCGACACGCGTAATTGGATATTTAACAAACAAGAAAAAATATAACACACTTAAAAACATATATGTTTTTTTTTGGTTATTTTTGTGATTAGTCCTAAAATTTAATAAATAAATAGTAGTAAATCAAATTTCTTTTACTAATTTTGTTAAGATTGCATAAACTATAGTTGCAAGATATATGGGAGGTTGCAAAAGTCACCCTTTGCTTTTGTTGTTTCCAATTTATGTCTCTAGCAAAGCAAAGCGACTGATACGGAACCAAAAGCAGCGTGGATCCTCATCCTCCCGTCCTCGTTGGCTAGCCAAAGCCTTTTTCTCTCTTCTTCTTGGCTCAATCTTGACTCCGTAGTCCGTTTCCTTTTACTTCATCGCCGTCGTTTACCGTCGGAGATATCAATTAAATCACATAGACGCCCATAGCCACACAGCAACGTAGGATCGTCGTTCTCATTCATCGCTCCCTGAAAAATTCACGGAGATGGCGATGACAGTTGAAGGTGAGCCACTTCTAATTTTCAGTTTGCAGTTACCTTCTTCATCCAATTGTATTGTTCGTTTTTTTTGTTAATTTAAACCTAGAAGATGATGATGATGTTATTTAGAAGCCGTGTGGGTAACAGTCGCAATCGAATTTTGGGGCTAATATCCAAGTTCAAATTGATATCAGTTTTAACTTCTATTTTTGATCAAATACGGATCGACACATCAAAGATCATCAAGAATTACAACAAATAGATATACGTAGGCGTATAATTTATAATTAAATCCAAAAGTCAATTTTCCTCTCTGGAATGGAAGGCATACAAGCTAGTTATGCATTACTCGTAACACTATTGGGAGGTTGCTTAGGGTTAACTGAGTATAGATTCTAAGAAGTTCGAGAACATTAAAACAACTCTATGTAAGCTTTACTGGAACTTCGTTTCTATCTGGGTATTAGAGAAGCCAAATAAAGGGCACATAAGACATTAGACATGGATGGTTTGTACTTTGTAGTTGCATTCAATATCTGGGAGTGGTGAAACACTTTCAGGTTTTCAATTCCCAAAGTATTTACATAGCTGTTTCATTTATGCTTCTTTTTCTCTCAACTTGTTCATAGAGAAAGAATAGTTCCAATCTCGGAAAAAGTGGATCAAAAACCAGTTAGTTTCCTGATAGGTGTTTGTAGCCTTATTCTCACATACTTCTGACACTACACAAAAAAGATTATCTTGTAGTTTATACATTACATCTATTAGTATATATATAAATGCAGTAATTTCGTATATGATGGACCTGAGTTAACTCAGTGTCAACTCGTGCATACACCTGACTCACTCACTATGAGTACTAACCAACTTCTAGTCATTGGATACTTAATCAAATTAACTACAATGATTGGATACTTCTAGATAAAGTTGATTTGTTTTGTCCTTTTTATAGAAATTAATTTCTTCATTTCAGCCATCTTTTACTATTCCTGATTTTGACTTTCCTCCCTTTTTTTTGCATGTGTGCTATTGCTCTCGTGGATCATTACCTAACTCTACAGTGTAAGCTCTTAATCTTTAAGACACAAGTATATATATATATATACACACACACACACACAAATAAATGAAAGTACATTGCTATTTCTTGCATTTAATGTTTGACAGAGATCTCTAACACCACATTCCTTTTCAGGCTTGCTGGACTTGCCCTTATGTTTTCATCAAGTTTCCTTCTACAAGTTCTGGTAGGGTTAATTGTATAAAATAATATATTTCAGTAATAAAACATCTAGTTTAAAATATAATTTATTTGGTTTCATTCAGGCTTGTGCAATATACAGCAACTGGTGGCCAATGTTATCAGGTATTTAACATTTTTGAATATTAGTTTTTGCAATTTATAAAAATTAACATGGAACTAAATTATCATTTTGCAGCACTTATGTATGTATTGGTCCCCATGCCATGCATGTTCTTTGGTGGCGGGTCCACTGAATATTTACTCACACGGGATGGCGGCGGGTAACTATTTCTCTTCTCAAATATTGCTAAAAATAGCAACCTACTTTCATTCATTTTTTTGATTATTATTTTAGAATCATACTTTTTTTTTAAAGAAACAAATAAAAGAAATATATGTTTCTATTTGTTTAAGTTGATAAGATGTGAGATGACATGTATGACAGGTGGATAGATGCTGCAAAATTCCTAACAGGGGCATCAACAGTGGGGAGTTTAGCAATCCCGATAATTCTAAGGCATGCACATCTGATAAGCACTGGAGCAATGTTGATTGAATTCATGTCTTTTTTTATATTTGTGTGTACTGTTATGTGCTTTCATCGTGCAAGTCTTGAAGATGAATGGTGATACGCAAAAGTCAACAACTATCAAGGTCAACAAATTAAAAATATGTAAATCTAGAAAGAGGTGTGACTTAATTTTGTTTTGACTTACATTTGTGTTGAAATTTGAAATGACTAGTCTTTTCTTTGGTTGGGGCTTGGAGAAGTAAAATAAGATTGTTATTTCCACATCTTTACATGGTGTTTGTTAAATCAATGGTTTACATAAATACATCATATAAATGATATGATTCACTAAAGTGTAACAAAAGTATGAGAACATCTACAACATTTGAACAAGTTCCTCATAATATGTATTTTCCCTTGAATACATATTCGTTAAATGATATGATTCACTAAAGTGGAACAAAAGTATGAGAACATCCACAACATTTGAACAAGTTCCTCATAGTATGTATTTTCCCTTGAATACATATTCATCAACGAGAGCATAGATACAAGCAGCTACATAGCCGAATACATACATTGGGCTTGGGCTAACAATACTAGGCTAAATACAATACTAGTGTATATATATATCCGCTAACATCCACCCCCACCCCCACCCCAGTTTGATCGGGATGAGAATTCCGAACTTTCAAACTGGTGTTGAGTGGAAGAAGACGCGTAAAAAGCTCTAACTGCGTTACAGACTATTAGATCATGAACAATGACCGAGTATATATAGGCCCAAGGCGGGTCACATGACCCACCTAAGTTCTTTTCTTTTATAACAAACAATATATAAAAAATAATTCACCTACTTTAAATTTTATGAGTGAACATATAGAGATAAAGCAAGACTTTTTTTTTTTTTTTTGCCTATCTTTTATATCTAGTAACAGAAATATTTAGTTCCCTTAGAATATTACCTCTTAATAAATAACTCAATACAACTTAAAATTAGATTAAAAAAAAGCAAAATCGTGAATATCGATTCATCGTTCAAACGTTGTCCCTCAACACTATGCACGAATGAAGACATAAGTAGAAAAAAAAACTTCAACTCTTCATGGTCACCATTGTCGTTCACTATCGACCCAACCCGCTAATAATAATTTTTTTACGCGTTCATATAATCGGTTTAATTTAAATAATGAACCATGTGAGTTTTCGTTCTAGACTCGCCACTGAAAATGAATATCAATCTCGATGAGTTTTGTTTGTTGGTATTGAACTGGGTTCGATGTAATGTAAACCGAACTGGTATTGTCACAATAGACACTAATATCTTTGGTAGGCGAACATCGAAGCTCTTGAAGTAAATTACGCACCTAACATGTCTATACAAAAACGTTGGCGATGATGCAATACTCCGCCTCTACATTGGACCGATAAATGACCCCTTGACGTTTGAATGACCATGATATAAGATTATCACCAAGAAACACACAATATTATGATGTGAAGCGTCGATATACTGGGCACCCGCCCCAGTTGACGTCTGAGTAGGCACGAAGGTCAGACGACGAAGAAACATGAAGTTGAAGACTGTGGTACAAGGTACCTCTGATATAGTGCAAAATATGTTTGAGAGTAGGCATGTGAGGCTCACGTGGGTGATTCATGAATAAACAGATCTGATGAACTACAAAGACAATGTCTGATCGAGTAAAAGTGAGGTACATAAGAGCACCATCCAGGATGTGAAACAAAGAGGGGTCAACAATAGTAAGTAGCATCCAACTTATGTGTAGTTTCTGCCAGTGTACGTATGGGATTACACTAACATATATGAGCCCTGTCAAGAATCTCGGATGCATATTTTACTGGGATAGAAAGAGACACTAAGACGACCGAGTAACAAAAATACCAAGAAAATAATTGAGAGCTCCAAGATCAGTCATGGAAAGCTCTTCTGAGGTGAGAGATGATACACACAAGTAGAGACATAGATGATGCAGTCAACATAATGTCATCAACATGTAGTAATAAGTTGGTATTATCGGCTCCATGATGGTAGATAAATATAGGGGTATCCATGAGACTGTGATGAAAGCTCATTCGTAGGGAATGTTGAGCGAACTGTTGATACCAGGCTCGTGAAGCCTGTTTAAGGACATATAAGGATCGTTGAAGGTGGAATACATAATATGGATGCTGAGGGTCTCGGAATCCCAAGGCTGATACATGTTAAATTTCTCGTGAAGATGGTCATGAAGAAATGCATTCTTCACATCAAGCTGATGAATGGACCAGTGCCTAGAGATTGATAGGCTGGGAACAATGCATATAGTTGTCGGTTTCACAACCAGGCTAAAAGTCTCATCACAATCGATCCCCTGTTGTTGAATGAGATCGTTTGCTACTAATCACGCTTTATAGCGAGATAAAGAACCATTGGCATTAAACTCATGTTTGAATAACCACATAGAACGAACCATATTGTCTCTCGATGGATGTGGCACAAGGACCCAAGTACCCTTTGTATCAAGAGTATTATATTCATTGTTCATGGATTTATGCTCGTTTAGATCTTTCAAAGCCTCTGTGTGTGGCCTTGGGATAGAGGATTGAGGTATAGAATAGAGATTGAAGCGGTCAATGGGTTTCACAATGTCACTTCTAGATCTAGTGTGCATGTGTTAAGTAAGAGGAGGAGGGGGACCTCATAAGTGGAAGGTGAAGGGGTTAGAGGCGGGGAAGTAGGTCCAACCTCGAGATGATGGGGATAAGTAGGGGTATTAGTGGTGGTGGGGATGGGTGACGCAATGGTAGCGGGAATATAGTGTACTATCTGATGAGGATTATGTAACATCCCAAAAATCATGACCAAAAATTTCATTTTTAATCATTAAATAAACCATAGTTATCAAAATCATTCCATCCAAAAACATGAGTCATAGTATCAAATCATAGTATCATATCAAAAGACATGTCAATATATCAAAGTAAAACATCACATGCTAAACATAATGGTGTGTGCATTGCAGTCATCCCGAGCTCTTCCTTTTGCTACCGGAAGTACTTGAAACCAAAACTGAAAACTATAAGCACGAAGCTTAATGAATTTCCCCCAAACTACCACATACCATACACATAATCATGCTACTAGGAGATACAGGCCCCACCCACACTCGGCTAACTAAGAGATATGGGCCTCGCCCACACTCTACTAACTATGAGATACGGGCCTCGCCCCACACTCAACTATCTATGAGATACGGGCCTCGCCCACACTCAAATACCAAGCAAACATACAAGTATCACACAGAAAACAAGTATAACAAAATATCAATCAGTTCTATATCCATACCCAAATAATGCTATGAGATACGGGCCTTGCCTACACTCAGCTATCTATGAGATACAGACCTCGCCCATACTTAACTACTAACCAATACAAATAACATATATGGGCTGACCTTGGTGCCTTCGACCCGTTCAAACCAGGAGAAAACTCACTTCACCGTCGGATGATAGCTGAAACGTCTCTGTTTGAAATCAACTCTACTCACTCCCTGAACCAAAACACCCCTTAGATGCCATTCCATACTCATAACCCTTAAGGGTCTACTCCCTTCAACTCGTCGAGTTCTCATGAATCACATAATCGTTTTTGGGTCTAAAATTATGGTTTATACATTACTTTTCTAGGAAAATGTATTTTTATGTCTAGGACTGTAAACATCTTGGTGTTTACGGTTGTATATGTGTTTACGGCCGTGAACAGGTTTACGGCCGTAAACATGTTCACGGCCCATGTCTCATATATATATATATATATATATATATATATATATATATATAGGGTGAGGGGTGCTTGAGAGTAAGGCTAGAGAAGTGAGAGCATATTGTAGAAAGAGAAAGTTAGAGAGAAGAGAGGAGCTTTAGTGTGTGTGAATCTTGTATCTGGATCTTCATTCATATCAAATTATACAAGATTCATCATCTTCTTCTTCTCCTTCTTCTTCATTAGATCTGACATCATCCGTTTGATCGGGGTTCCTCACCATCAAACGGATCTGATTGATACACAAGCAGATTTGGGGACTTACAATTGGTATCAGAGCTTGGATTGTATCAATCAATTTTGTTAGATCTGGAGCTTATTTGATCTTATTTTTGAAGGATTTCTACGTTTTTGGATAGATCTTGGCAAAATAAGGGGGGGGGGGGTTTCTTTGCGTTTTTCATAAAAACAATTTTTGATCGAGTTTTGGAGCAAAAAAGGGTAAAAATCGTTGTTTTTGGTTGTAACCAGCGAGGGGGGGGGGGGTGTACAACCAACAACTAGGGTTACCGAAGATTTATAGCCTCGGAGTTTACAGCCTCGCCTCAGGTTTACGGCTCAGCAACATCACACGTGTACGGTCGGGGTTTGCAGTCTTCGCCTCGGATTCGTGGTCAGCCTCGCATAGGATCCAAAGTTCGCACCGTGTTCATTTAAAAAAAGGGGGGGAACCAATTTTGGGGGTGCCAGGTTTCGAACCCTGGTTACCTGCATTCACAAAAAAGGTGTCTTAGCAGTTGGGCTAGACTACTTGTTGATTTAAACCTTTGCGTTTTAATTCAAAAGGATTCTCCAGTTCGACTAATTTCGCAAATTTGACACTTTTAGCCCAATATTCAAATTTCTTTTATTTTTAAATTCTATTTTCTTCCAAAAATTTTAGCTTTTAATTTTTAAATTTCTAAATTTACCTTTGACCTCAAATTTTGACTTTGATTTTTCAAGTTTGACCTTTGATTTTAAACTTTGACTTTCCCGGTTAACCTTCAAAATTTCAAATTTAGCTTTTCGGTTTGCCCTTTAAGTTTGACTTCTTGAATTTGACTTTTAAGGTTGACTTTTGAGTTTTTAGTCAAAGATTTTTTTTAAAAAAATGAGTTCTGCATCCATTCCGGTAAATGAAGTTTCATGTAACATCTCGAGTTCAGGAGTGCAAGTTCAGGGTTCAAAGTGTAAATTTGAAGGGCAACTCGGCGAGTCCATGGGTGGACTCGACGAGTAGGGTCGCGACTCAGGTCGCGTGTTAAGTGGCCAACTCGACAAGTCCAAAGCTGGACTCGGCGAGTAGGCCCTGTGCGAAGAAAACCCTAATTTCGGGGAATGAGCCCTATATAAAGGACATTATACCCTCTCCCCAGCCTCCTTACCTTCCCTTGAAGTCCAGAAAACCCTAGAAGTGTGATTGTGAAGGATTTGAGTGCTTTTGATTCTTGGAGAAGTGATTTAGATTAAGATCTT